AAACTGGGCATAGTGGCACATGCCTATAACCCCAGCACTTGGGAGGCTGAGGCAGGAGGATCGATGAAAGTTTAAGGTCAGCCTGGGCTACACAGTGAGTTCAAGGCCAGCCTGAACCACATAGCAAGACTCTGCCCCCGCCCCCCAAAGTGATGTGTGGGTCCTATGAAAGGAATAAAGTACTTCAAGTTTGTGTACCCTGCATTTTTAAAAATAATGATTTCCACATTTACTATTAAATTCTCTCCCCCTATGTGTATAGCAAATCGCCTGAGGGAGATTCTGTTATCTTCATTTGTAGAGAGTTAATAAGATCTTACTGTTACTTAGTAGCAAACGGTGGTCTAACATATAGTACTGTGGCCTTTCTGCTATAACACATCTAGGTAGCCTTTGTTCTTGTTTCTCCCAGTAATGAATGTTGAAAAACAACATTTTTATTGAGCATGAGTTTTGTGGTTAGTGAAATTTTAGGAATTAAAAGTGAAACACATGTGAAGCTTTCCTTTGAGGGCACTCGTGTGAAACTGTAAACTGAACAGTTCTTGTCCTCTGTATAATAGGACAGCATAGTGAATATACTGTGTAATGATCCAGGTGTATTTGAGTCATATGCCGGGCATTGTAGCCCTAGATGGATGGACAGGGTTTGCATAGGCAAAAAGTAAAGTATTGTATATGGGAGAGCATCTATGTGAAGGGAAGCTACAGTTTCAGGCATATTTGAGCAGAGCTTATAGGGCATGCAGTGATGTCCAGCCTAAGCGAAGCGTATCTGTTGGAGAACAGTGGATGAGAAAGCATAACAAACAGGTAAGGAGGCGCCAAGCTTGAAGGACTTTGAAAACCTGCTAGAGTTTAGATTTGGTGGAGTAACCAAAAGGGAATCGTTGAAAGTTACCGAGTAAAGGTGAAGGCATAACTAAAGAGGTATTTTGGGAAGAGTAATTTTGAAGTAGGGCACAGATGTACAGGGAATGAGGTACAAATAAAAAGATTTAATGTGCTTGTGAGGAATATGACTTTGTATTATTTGAGAGACAAGAGAATGTTACCAAAATTTGCATTTTAAATCTTTGATTTTAGGATCTGTTCATTCAGCAGATATTTGTTCCTATTATTTATGTACAAAATGTTATGGGAGATATGCCCCAAAAGAACTTATGGTATAGGAGTGAATTTGAGATATTTACAAATAATTTTAGTACTAAAGAAATGTTACAAGATAACAGGTATAGATGAACTACTTTGTGAGATTATTTTCATCTGTCCATTAGAAATAAATGTGAACCACATGTGATTTTTAAAAAAGTAAAAGTGGGGATGTGTGGCATGGTGGTAGACCTCTTTGCCAGCATGTGCAAGGCCCTGAGTTTGATCCCCAGCACTGCAAACAAAACACAAATGAAATATTTTTTTACTTAACCCTTTGTATCCAAAATATGATTTCAACAGGTGGCACACTGTGGCTTGTGGTTTTGAATTATACAACTCATCTTTAAGAAAAATTGCATGGAAAGGATGGCATTTGAATTATGTTCTGAAGAACTTTGTATTGAGAATAAATGAGAAAAACCATTCCAGGTAGAGGGATTGGCTTGGTAGTCAGGATGGAAAAGCACACTTTTGTGTGGAGGATCATTTTGGCAGAAGCCTATGGTGCAGAAGTCATATTGGAAATCTGGGAAGATCGCTTGGCAAGCTTTCACTGACAGGAAATCTGACTGTACTGTATGGAGCAGGAAACTATAAAAATTTTGAGCAAAAAGTGATGTGATTAGGACTTTAAGAAGATGGGTCTGATAGCAAAGATATGGAGGGAGCCGAGGAAGATGAGAGACTGAAAGCACTGGGAATAAAGATTATGGATGGGACATTGATTGTAGATGTAGAAAGAGAAACAGTTTCGGGCCAGGGATTTAGTTCAGTGGTTCTGCCGCCTCCCTTGCAAGCGCAAGGACCCGAGTTTGATCCCCGGTACCAAAAAAAAAAGAAAAGAGGAACAGTTTCATTTCTCCCTTGTCTGCTGCCTTCCTCCAAACTGCTTTTGTTGTGTAATCCATTTCCTGTTGAAATTAGTCTAGATGCTTCAAAATCTGTGTTATATAAGCCGAAAGTTATGTAAGCGATAGGCATTAGGGCATTTAGCTATGGATTTTGTTTAAGTTCTTTCTGTGTGTGTGTGATTAAAATTTTTGAAGCAGGTGAATGTAGATTATTTTAAAGTTGTGCATTACAGTCTTATGGTGATGGTTTCCCATCTCCAAGAACTCTGTGATGATCAAAAAAAAGCTTGAAATAGTTGGCCCCAAATCAGAAAGGCCACATTTTAGTTTTTATTTTTTTATTTTTGCCACATTTTATTTTTAGGAAATAGGATGAGGACATTTGGGAGGTCCCAAGGAGTAGTCAGGATTTTTCCAAGTATGAAGCTTGAAAAAGTTGAGGGAGATAGCTTAGGAGCCTAGTAGGGTTGAAGAATTTTGTGACATCCTTTAGCAATGTCAATCCTTTGTATTTCTCTATTACTCTATTAAAATACTAAATAGAATGGCTTGATCCTGTGTTGGCTTTTGGCCAGAACTTCATTATTTGGAATTATTCATAGGTAGAGTTGCACAAGTGCTTTTAGTGAACTTTGAAGTTGACCTCTAAGTGACCTCTTTAAATTTGTCTACAGACTAGACATTTTCTTAAGCTCATTGAATCTGAAAGTGGATTTACCCATGTTGTGCTTGGCACTTTTAGGAACAATGAATTAGGGTTATTTAATAGAGATATTGCCCTGATCCCAAAGACTAGTGATTAAGAAAGTTAGACATATTGAGTATATAACTGTAAGATGATAAATGGTATAAAGTAGACTAGGTTATGTTGTGGTAACAAACAGCTCCAGCATTTCAGTGGCTTTACCCAGTAAAGTTTCTTTTTTACAGTATGTGTCCAGCTGTGCAGGAAACTGCACTGTACAGGCACCCAGGCCCTCAGTTGGGACCAAGTCCACTGTTTTATGACTGCACCATCTAGAATACATGGCCTTTTACGTGGCTGCTGTTAAGAGAAGAGAGCAGGGGAAACTATACATAGGATTTTCACAGTTTCAGTCTGGAAACAGCATCATTTCTGCTCATCAGTGGACAGAACTACTATCTTCTAATTGCTAGGGAGTGGGTGCTGGGAAATGTAAGGAAGCCAATGGAATATTTCATGAGAATAACTGTCTCTTGCATAGTCTTATTCTAGTGTTGTGAGTGAAGATGTCAGATGGATCAAGGTAAGACTTTGCTTTACTGAGTGCAAGCTTACAATTAGTGAGCCTTATATAGAACATAGCTCTGAGTATGATTTACATAATAAGCCGTAGGAAAAGAATCAGTTCTGAACTGGAAAATCAATTTTTTCTGAATTGTGTGGATTTTTAGTTTATGTTATGTCATTGTACTTCATCTAATAAACCACTTTCATGTGATAGGTCTCTGTTGAGAATTTTTCATTAGAATACAAAAATGACTTTTGGACAAAATCATTTTATTTATTTATTTATTGGTACCGGGGATTGAACTCGGGACCTTCTGCTTTCGAGCCAGGTGGTGGAACCACTGAGCTAAATCCCTGGCCCAAAAAAATCATTTTAGAAGTAAAGGTTACACTTTCTATTTTTAAATTGTCGATTGTTTTTAGAATACTACACATGTATATAGTAATGAAAGAATTTATTTACAAAACACTGACATTCCTACTAGTGTTTAAAGTAGTATAAAGTTTTTTTTAACTCAGGTATTACATGTTTTTATTCTGTGGCACAGATATAGAAATTTAAGCCAACAGTATGTAAATGTTTATGGTTCATAAGTAACTTTTGAGCTATATATTATCCAAAAATTACTGCACTCTATAATGGTTTATTATTATAGTGAGAACATGATTAAAGTGAGGCGAATAAGAAGCATTCATTAATTGGTATGTATAAAGGGTTAGATAAAATTATAAACTGAGGTCATTGGAATTTTTGTGGGGTTTTTCCCACAAAATCTTTTAAATGAACTCAGTTGTGGTTCAAGGGAATTCAGTTATGGTTTGAAGTTTCATGGCTATATATCCTGTAGATTCTTACTTATACCCAGTCAGAATTAGTGCAGATGCCTCCTGTATATTAGGTCATTTGTTCTCACAAGAGCCCCATTGAGAGAGTTGGTTCTTACTTTCTAGTAAGGAAACTGAAGGGCTCAGGTGAAGGGATTTAAACAAGACCATACTACTACTGAATAGCAGAGCTAGTGCTAGATAGAGCTCAAGTCAGCCGCCGTTGGTTTATGCTCTTTGCAGTGTGCCCTTGGAACAAAGTTATATACTACAGAAGATAGCATAATGATGGCTCCCATAGCTTTTGCTTTAAGGTTGTTTGAAGTGTAGTACTTTAAGTATTTTCCCTCTACTGCAGGGGAAAACAGATTTGATCAAAACCAAATAATAACAGCAGTGAGAGAGGGTTTTCTATATTATAGGAGAGAGTTGAGCGGTGTCATTTTAAAAAGCAGATACTTATTGAAAGCATTTAAAGAATATATATTTAGCATAAACCTGTACAGAAATTGTTATTAAGCAGTATCTATGTATTGGGGAGGTGCAGAGGATAGGGAAAAATCAAAGCTCTAGGAACAGATAGATGACTTGATTTCTGGCTGTCAACCATTTTCTACTTTCAGTGGTACCTTCCTTGAACCTTCATTTCTTTACCTTTAAAAATGGGGCAGAGGTTGTTTTGAATATCACTGTCCTGTATAACTGCTGGGAAAATTAACTGACCAAAATAATTTTAAGGCTTTGATGAAGTACCTGATCCCATTGGTACTCAGTATATAATCATTGGTGTTGATGGTATTTGGGACTAGGTGTTTTGCTTTCAGGGAAGCTTCTGTCCAGATGGTTTGGAAGAAGATTCACAGTACATTTCCTGGGCCCCCAAGTCTGATATTTGCTTTCTCTTGGTCTTGTTGTAGGGAATGACCATGGACAAAAGTGAGCTGGTACAGAAAGCCAAACTTGCTGAGCAGGCTGAGCGCTATGATGATATGGCTGCAGCCATGAAGGCCGTCACTGAACAGGGGCACGAACTCTCCAATGAAGAGAGGAATCTGCTCTCTGTCGCCTACAAGAATGTAGTAGGTGCCCGCCGTTCTTCCTGGCGTGTCATCTCCAGCATTGAACAGAAAACAGAGAGGAATGAGAAGAAGCAGCAGATGGGCAAAGAATATCGGGAGAAGATAGAGGCGGAGCTCCAGGACATCTGCAATGACGTTCTGGTAAGGGGCCGGTGCTTCTGCTTTAAACGATTTTCTCAATAGTGTTAATTTAATGCCCACCTGTAGACTCTCAAACACCTTATGAGAGAGAGGTTTCTTAATACACTGGAAAGCTGCAAACCATTTGCAGTTGCTTTTCAGGTATATGATGTGATTTTTTTTTTCCCTCATCTTTTGCTTGGTTGGAGATTGTTCATCACTTCTAGGGTTTTTTCCTCACCTATCAAGAAGACCTGTGAAAAATAGGAACATTTAGCATCCCTCCATCTCTTCTTCGGAAATAGAGGCCAGATAGACAGGCTTTTAGATAGATGCAGCAACCAGGTAGGCTATTCTATTTGTTAGTCTGAGTGGTGACATCATCTCCAGAATAGGGGGCAGGATTTAAAAGCTGAGCTGCCTTTTAGCTTCTCTCTAGTCATGTCTTCACATTGTAGTCCTGTTTTTGTCTGAAAGTTAGGTGCATCCATCAAGTTCAGCATGCATTTCCAAGGCCAAATCAAAGGTGGTTTGGGGATTTTTCTCTACAAGTCCTAGTCAGATGATTGATTTCCTCTGGCCATAGTTTGGGGTTGAATGGGAGGGGTGCATATTCTAGAACAAGTCATGATCATAATGTCTTTCCCTCACATCCTGAGCCCACTGGGAACTTTTTTTTTCTTCCAGGTGAAATCAGGTAAAAATGAACGGTGAGGGCTGCTTTGAAGGGAAAAGGAAGTTACACTTGTTGATCTACCTCCTCCCCTGCTGGCTGCCTCTCCGAATTACTGCCCATGACACCTTTCTTTTGAAAACCAGTGCAAAGCTTGTCAGCCATGAGGCAGTACTCCTCACCCCTAACCCATAATAAGTTACACCCTGTCTGTCTGCAAAGTATATTAAAATGACTACTGCCCCTTGCATCTCCTCACTGATTGGTTAAATCCCCTTATTGTTAGCTTTGCATTGAGCTTTTTAATAGACTCATGGTGTAAGATAAGAGTGTCATGGCTAAACTTGTTGCCTGTTGGTCATTTGGGGGTTTGTTAATGGTGCACTAATTCCTGAATGTTAGGTACATCTGGTATTCAAATGAAGTATGGCATGCATTCCAAGGGCGAGAAAGTTCCATAATTCCTGAAATGTAGACCAGCTTTTAAGAGCATCTGAAAGAATGTGAAGAAGAGCATGGTACTTACTGCCTCTTAACCAGTTTTTCAGGATGCCACATTCTAAAACAACTCTTCGAAAATATTGCTCTGTATACGAAGCTTGGACTCCTTCAGAACTACTTTTGTTGTAAGCATAAATGTTTAAAGGAATTTATTATTAATAATAGTACTAGATTCTTTGAGTGCTTACTACGTGCCAGGCAACGTGTTAAGCACTTTATGTACATTAGTTTACTTGTCCTCATAACTACTCTCGAAGGAGGCCATTGTGGCCCCCATTGTACAACCAAGGAAACAGACTCAGGGTGATAAAGTAGGGTTGTATGGATACAGATAGTAAGCAGCAGAAGAGGGGTTTCTTTCCAGGTCAGATTGATTCTAAACTGAGTTCTTGTGGTTTTGTTCTGTTACTACATTTATCCTCCCAGAGTAGAAAGAAAGCTTTTTTCTCTAATTACAGAAGAGATGTGTGTGTTGTGTGTATATATATATTATTTTTTTTTTTTTTTTTCTTTCTTTCTTTTTTTTTTCTTTTTTAAAGGACAGGGCAAAAGAGTAAAAAGTAAAACATCACTTGTAATCCTGTCATCCAGAAAACCATTATTAGTATAACTTCCAGGCTTTCCCTCTATGTTTTTGTGTTCATGTGCACATAGGTATTTTAATATTAAAATAGGATTCTTTGTAGTTATAATCTGGATTTTCACAATTTTTTTTGAGAGCTTTTTCATGTTACCAGTATAGTTCTGCATCATCATTTTTTCCTAGCATTGCACTGTAATAGCTGTATTTTATTAATCTCTTATGGTTGTTCAAAAATGACTTTTAACAGAAGAATATAGGCATCTATATTCATAACATTTAGTGACTTGGATTAAAAATGCTTTGCCTTTTTTTTTTAAGTCTTCAAAGAAAATTGGTAGTGGTAGTATATATCTTAAGTCTCAAACATAATTTTAACATCCTGTGAATAATTGAAAATTCTTAACAATGCGAATCATTTTTTAGGAGCTGTTGGACAAATACCTTATTCCCAATGCTACCCAACCAGAAAGTAAGGTGTTCTACTTGAAAATGAAAGGAGATTATTTTAGGTATCTTTCTGAGGTGGCATCTGGAGATAATAAACAAAGTAAGTAACATTTAAAAGTTTTTAACCAACAGTAGAGCCAGACTTCTTTCATAATGACCTTAAAGTTTTGCTGTGTGTGTTCACCATAGACCCGAACATCATAGTAATCAGAATTTAAAAGGCCATAGCATTGTGATGAACGAGGTCATGGTGTTGACAGTATATCTGAGGGCAAAGATTGAGGGCATTGGGAATCTGATTGTAGTGTATTTGAAGATTGGTTGGTAGTTCTCTTTTTAGAGGCAAAACTTTTAACAAAAAGTAGTCTACCCTTGACCATGGTTTTGTTTTTCCCAGTTTTAGTTATTCAAGCTCAGCTATGGTCTGAAAATATTAAATGGACAATTCCAGAAATAAATGATTCATAAGTTTAAAATTACACACTGTTCTCAGTAATGGGATGAAATATCACGCCATCCTCCTCAGAAGATGAATCATCTCTTTGCCCAGCATATCTACCCTATGTATGCTACCTGCCTGTCACTTAGTTGCCATCTTGCTTAGCAGATGGACTGTCATCGTGTCACAGTACTTGTGTTCAAATAGCCCTTATTTTACTTTCTCCGAAGTGCAAATTCTATTACAATGTTTTTTATAATTGTTCTGTATTATAATTAATTATCTTTAATCTACTGTGCCTAATTCATAAATTTATCATAGGTATGTGTGTATAGAAAAAGTTATTCAGGCTTCAGTACTATCCACAGTTTCAAGCATCCACTGGTGTCTTGGAACACATGCCACAGATAAGAGAGACCTACTGTATTTGCTGGTGTGAAACCACTATAGTGCTGCATTTCTTTATCATGTGAATTACTATGGGGGTGATAATTATAGCCTACATTAAGGGCCTACTGTGTGCCGAATACTTTGGAGTCCTATTTATCCTCATACAACTTCATGATAGGTGGGAGTCTGCCTGTTTTTGTAATAAAGGAAGGCATGACTTCTGAATAGAGGTTTTTACTTGCTCCAAGCCACAAAGCCATGTACCTAGTGAGTAAAAGTTGGGGATTCAGGGTTGGGTCTGCTGACTGTAAAGCCTGTTTTCTTTCCATTGGAGCATAATGTTTTCTACTTTCTCTTTTTTAGACTTTTAGCTGCTCTAAATTTTAGACTTTATCGTAATTGTCTGTTTCCCCCAAAGCATTTAATATAGTACTTGACTTAGGATAAACATTTAACAGACATTTAATTGAATGGTGGAAGCACTGACAACTTATTTTGATTGCTTACCTATTTCAGCTTAGTTTGTTGAAATAATTTGATAGTGAATCTAGTGTGTGTGATGCAACCTTTAATTTTTACCATCTTACTTACAGCCACTGTGTCGAACTCCCAGCAGGCCTACCAGGAAGCATTTGAAATTAGTAAGAAAGAAATGCAGCCTACACACCCAATTCGACTTGGCCTGGCACTTAATTTCTCAGTCTTTTACTATGAGATTCTTAATTCTCCTGAAAAGGCCTGCAGCCTGGCAAAAACGGTGAGAAGGACCCTCAGTGGTTTCTTTTCATAGAAAACAGTGCAGTGCTTTCTAATATAATTTCTTTTTATTCCTGAAAATCCTCATTGTCTTAGATTTTTTAAAAAATATTTTCTAGAAGAGGGATATCTTATGAAAGAAATACAGAGCTGTTAGTAATTCCTTCTCAACACCTGCTTACTTTGATTACTGTTTTTTGAGGGTGGTGGCAGAAAATTCTAGGTGAAGTTAGTTTGTGGTTTCTCATCAAATTTTGGGCCTTGGCCATATATTGTCATTCTTATTTGTACTAAGATATGAGATTATGGCTGTGTACACAAAAGAAATCAGACCATATTTTCTTCATGCGCTACATGTTTGTGGTCTTTCAATCTGTGTACTGCTACTTTTAATTTTTTAAATTTGGAAAAGATGCCTGAAATGAATTATCAAAGTTGTATTAATCAAATCAGGTTTAGAGAAACGCTTCACTCTTTTGTCCTTTGTATCAAGAATTTTTGAGTTTTTTTTCTTTTAAAGAGATTACTAGAAATGTCTTTAGTATTCAAGAAATTGCAGTTGGGTATGGTGCTGCACACCTATAATCCCAACACTCTGGGAGGCTGAGGCAGGAGGATTGGATTGCAGATTTTATCCCAGCCTGGGAAATTTAGCAACTTAATGAGACACTGTCTCAGAATAAAAAATAAAATGGCTGTGGATGTAGCTCAGTACAAAGGCCCTTGAATGCAATCCCCAGTATGACAAGACAAAAAAAAAAGAAAGAAGAAATTACATGAGTTTACCTAAAGTAAGTGTGCTGTGGTTAACAGTAATACTGCTTACTTATTAGGTAAAACAAAGTTATAATCCAGGAATTTTTATCATCTTGGTTGGTGCTTTATAAACATGAATTATATGCTTATTGAAAGAACTAGCAGAGAAAGTAATAAGAGCCTAGGTTCTTCCAAAGTACTGTAGAAGAAGAGAAATAATAATCACTTAGCAGAATAAAAGTTGGCCTAAATTCACTTCAGAGAACTTGTAGATGTCCTGCTAACGGCTGTTTGTTTTAGGCATTTGATGAAGCCATTGCTGAATTGGATACACTGAATGAAGAGTCTTACAAAGACAGCACACTGATCATGCAGTTACTTAGGGACAATCTCACTGTAAGTATGACTTCTGGAGAGTTTACAGTCTCTTTCCTATTTATCTACTTAATAGTTACTATTGTGCAAGATTTAAGAGAAATTTGTATTATGTAAAATATGGCTAAAACTCTAAACTGTTAAATAATTGCTAATATTTTGACCTTGGCGGTCATCACTGCAGTAATACAGGAGGAATTTTAAATGGTCGAATGAGATAAGATTCAGACTCTACCACCCTGAGTAAGTTTTATTAGCTTTCCTTTGATTATAGCTTTTTTTTCTTTTCTCTTGCAGCTGTGGACGTCGGAAAACCAGGGCGATGAAGGAGATGCTGGGGAGGGAGAAAACTAATGTCTGTTGTGCTTTGTGATCTGTTCAGTGTTACTCCACATATATCCCTTTGTGCGATAAAAAGAAAAAGAAAAAAAAAATTTGTATGTCGACTTCAATTTTTCACAGCCTCAGTCTAGCAAAAATGGTCCATGGGATAAACAAGTGGTATCAGTCTAAAACTCAGATTGGTCACACAATGCCACAGCATTTTGAAGTTTTGATTTTGATTAACATTGACAGGATTACTGTGTTTAATTTTTAAAAACTGAACACTGTGATTATGGGGTTTTATAACTTAGAAATCTTACTGGTAGAAAAATAGACCCGAATTGTGTGTAACTTTTTGGAAAGTTTAATCTGATATCAAAATAGTCACTAAAGTACAATTCTGTTGTAAAGTTGTACAGAAAGTTATAGATTATATTGTGGTGCTGGTACTTGGAGTGAGGCACTTATCATTTGGCATCCAAGATTAATAGCAGTTCACAGTAATTCTGCCTGTGGTTCAGGGCTTATAGACACTTGACCAGTTTGGGTTGTTGCCACTCAAAAATTCATAACCACAGACATCTACGGTGTCTTCCTCTGAGGAAACTCAAAGCCTGAAACTGAAATTCTTTGTGGCAGATAACTGGGTTATGACACCGTGAAAAGGTCCAGTGCTTCTATAACATGTGTTATTAAACTCCCTTTCCTATAGCAATATGTTACTGATTTGCAACTTGTGAAATAGTGGGTTCTTTTTTCCTTGTTCACTTAGCTAAAGGGGGGAAAAAGCCAGCCACCCTGTTTGTTTGCTTGATACACCTTTAAGAATAATGCTCTGTAGAGATCACCTCTTACTTGAAGAGTACTCTTTGGCTTTGTCCTAGCTCGGGCATTTAAATTTTAAAATTGAAACATGCTTTCCCTTGTCCTTTTGGCTTTTGATTTTGGTTTTGGTTTTCTTTTTCTTCTTTATGTCTTGCTTCCTTATATTTTTTTGTTTTGGAATTTTGTCTTTGTCTTTTGTTCACTTTTCATACTGTACAGACAGGGTGAGAGATGTTGGTGAGCAGGCCTTGCTTCCAAGAGTTTGAGAAGAGCTTCCAGCCGTGTCTTCCTCCAGTTCTCAGCATGCTTGCTCTTCAGTCACACCATGATCTGAATCAAAAAAATTTTTTTCTGAATACCCATAATTTCTCCGTGTATTGCAACCAGCCCCGATAATACTTGTATCTGTCACTAGATCTTCCAAATGCACTCATCCAGCCTAGTTCTCAGACACATCTAAACAAGACCCTATAATTCAGGGAAGTTACATGGACACTGCCATGGAGAGAATCAAAAGTAGCCAGGCCTTTCAGTCTCACAGTATCACCTCTGTACCTTCAACATTCCATGTAGCTGTAGCATCCATCTGTTTGTTCATCTGCTGAAATGAGAAAAGAAAAATTCATGCACTGATTTAAACCAAAAAAGAAAAGAAAAAAACCCACACAATCCCCCCCTCCTCTTTTCCTCTCTAGCTGAACAAAAATGTGCAGTTAATACTTGGCGCTTGAAAATGCAGTAGTGAATGTGGAACCAAGCCTGTCTGTATATCTGGTAGCTCTGCTTTGTTTTTCCTTACCAGTATTCTGCCTAACGTTTGCTTTTGTGATGGTTATATTGCCTAGCAAGCACACCCGTGGTTGTGAAATAGTATAGCAAAAAAGAAAAATCCCTGGTTATTGATGTACTAGATTTGTGTATGTCTTTTAAATAGTTCTAGTTTCACCTTACATGGAATAATCAGGAAAAGTGTAAAAATTCAAAAGCAAAATAAAAAATTTTATGTTAGTTGTTTGTGAATTGATGTGTTAACCTTACCTCCATCACTACCAGATCTAACTCATGATCACACTTATTTTTGGTTCTATTTTCTTTTTAAAAAGGAAACAGGTTAATTTTTATTATTTGGAATCAGAAGTCAAGGTTTGGTGGCAAAGGGGAAGACATTGTAATATCCTCTTTCCATGCCTACCTTCCACAGGAAACCTTCCACAGCAAACCTTCCACAGCAAACCGTCCAGGTGTTAGATGCTCTGTGGCTTGTAAGATTTAGTATGGATGATTACTTTGCATCGCTTTCAAGCCCCACTCTTTTTTTTTTTTTTAACTGAGATAAAACCAAGCTAGAGATGTAACCAAGCCTTCTAAGTCTTGATCATCTCTAAGGTTAGTATTGTGCCTGTCATATGTTTGTTGCTGTTTATAATAGCTTACCGCACTGTTTCCTAACGGGAGATCCCCACCCCTTCTAAAAATATCTACATTCCCAGGAGAGGAAAAAACTAGGGTAAAGGGATGTTTTTTAGCCCAAGATTAGAATCGATTGTTGCTCCCTTCTGTCCTTGGGAGCTACTCCACCTGTGGAAGCCACATCCAGTAGTAGGTCAGTGGGAACCTACCTGCTTTGTTTCAGAAGAGAACAAGGTGCTTCAGAAGAGAAGCAAGGTGAAGAATTGGTCTAAAATGGACTTGGATTTTAATAACATGGCCCTATACCACATGGATTGGGCTGCAAGCTCAGATTGACCATCCTGTTACTTAGGGCTATCTCGGCTCTGCTCAGCTGTTAAATGCCTACTGTTCTCTTGCAGCTGGGTCACAAGTAACCTCCCTGTTGGAACGCAGGGAGAATGGTTTAGACCACCGAGGTGGGAGGTAATATCGGAGGAAGGAAGAGGCCTTGGTAATAAAACAGCCAGCGTCAAGGAAGACTTTAGTGGACCTTAAGAGTTCTGCGCAGCCCTTAGTCCCCAGTCAAAGCCTCCCACCCTAGGTTCAGTAGCGTGGAACTGGGGGTCAGGCTATTTGAGAAACTTTGGCCGCTGGATAGTAGTCTGCACACAAATACTGAAATAAGGGGTCTGGCTGGGATTGTCCTTGACAAGAGGGTGTCTTCCCCACTGTCCAGAGAAGGAAAATGGGTCCAGAGGCAATGAATGACCTGGGATTAGAACCCAGTCTGCAATCCCGTCCACCGCGTTTATGGAGCTGGCTTCCCCAAGCCAGAACCGGCGCAAGGCTCTGCCTTCTTCGGGGCGGGGTCAGAGATGCCCCCCACCTGCGCCTTTAGAATCCCAGGGGCTCCCAGGTGGGGAGGGGCCGGGCGCTGGCGATTGGTGCGCAGGAGCCCTGGGGCGGTAAAGGGAAGGGGCGGGCCAGTGCCGCCGACTGGAACCTCTCGCGCGGCCACCCGCCATGCAAGCCGGCGGCCAGGGCTACCCCCTCTCCTCGCTCTACGTGGGCGACCTGCATCCGGACGTGACCGAGGCCATGCTCTACGAGACGTTCTCTCCAGTCGGCCCCATCCTGTCCATCCGCGTGTGTCGCGACGTGGCCACTCGGCGCTCGTTGGGTTATGCCTACATCAACTTTCAGCAGCCAGCAGACGGTGAGCCCCGGGGAGCTCAGGTGGAGTGGGAGGGGCGTCGGCCAGAGACAGCCTCCAGGCTGCCCAGGCGTTCTTCATTTCCTTTTGCAGTCAGGGAAACTGAGGCACAGAGCGTTCTAGGAGATGCTCCGTACTGGTATTGCTGTGTTTTGGGGAGGAGAGATTAAGGCCGGGGTGCAAACTGCTGAGAATATTGGAGTCAGGCCAAAGTGAGTGGAACCCAGCAGCTGTGTGACTGTTGAGCAAATTGCTCAACCATTCTGAGAGCAGTCGCTTGTCTGATCTCAGAAAAATCAGGCCTTATATGCCTTAAAGAGTGGTTGTGGGGGCCGGGGATTTAGCTCAGTGGTGCCGCCGCCTGCCGCACAAGGTCTTGAGTTCAGTCCCCGGTACAAAAAAAAAGAGTGGTTGTGAGATTCAGAGCACCTGAAGGAGCTAGGCGTGATGGGGCACACCTGTAATCCCAGCACTGAGAGACCGAGGCAGGAGGATCATGAGTTTGAGATCAGCCTGAACTGTTTAAGGAGAACCTGTCTCAAAACAAACAACCCCCCCCCCAAAAAAAAAACAAAAAAAGCCACCTGGAGAGGAAGAGGTCCAAGAGAACACAGTTGGAGAACAGGAAAGCCTTAGGCTCCCACTTTCCATGGCAGCCTGACACGAGGTCTATAGCTGGTGCCTCCATCCTTCCCAGCTCTGAAAAGCCACTTGCTTCCTGCAGGCTCCTCAGGGCTGATAGGTTTAATTAGAGTTTGTCAGCTGAGTAGAGTATTTTACACTTCTGTTGAGAGTAGAGGATAAAGGTTAAGAGCCCTAGGTCTTGCTGGAGCGCACTAAGCAGCTGTGAGCTTAGCCAAGACCACCCTCGACACCATTTTGCCTATAAAGTATGGCTAAGGACTTATTCCCCAACAGTATAAAGAATGGAAAGCTGGTGTTTATGGAATAACATTTGGTACATGGTAAGCACTCTTAAGTGATAACCTAAAAAAAGGTAGTAGTGTAATATTCTGGTGCGACACTCTAGAAACAACCAACAAATACCTGCCCCAGCCAAGTTCAAAATAATGCATCTTACTCCGGATCTAGGCAGGTGGGAGGGAGGGAGGTTGGTTCCTGAGTTGGAGGTTTTGCTGTGACTGAGCTGGATTCCAGGATGCTTTCTGTTGTGCTCTGCTCTACCCACTGCCTCTTTCTGTCTTCCTCCAAGCCATCTGCAGCATCCATGAGTGAACAGACCTGACCTTTTGGTCCCAGTTCATAGATGGGAGAATCAAGCTGCCGAGAGGAGGAGCTTTGCCTCTGGGTGCTTATATTAGGACGACATGGAGAACCTAGACTTCCTGAGACTTGCTCCACTGTGCTCACCTAGCTCCCTCCATACCTCTGAAACTAGCAGAGTCCCCAAGACAGAGAACTGCTCTGTGCATATTATGTGGGAGGGAAGAGGATATAGCAGTGGCAGGAAGGTACCATAGGGTGCTGTATCCAGACACACTGCCATTTACCAAGCAAGTTGTGTGTGCCTTACTTTTCAATCTGCCCAATACCTGGAGGTAGATGGTATTGTGTCCTTTTTCAGGTACAGAAAGGTATGTAAAATCATCATCATACTTATTTTACAGATAAGGAAATGGACTTGGAGAGGTGGTAGTAAGTTCTCTGAAAGCCAAACTTCTCGAGGTTGAATCTCAACTGATATTTAGCACTTACCACTTTTAATTTCCTCAAACTGCTGCCACCCCTTCTCATATGAACCCATCCTTTACATTCTCATTGACTCAGTGTGCTTTAGAGACCTAAACAGACCTGGCTGTACCACTGACCTTTCACTCTTCTGAGCCTAGATTTGCCCATCTGTAAGATGGGGTTAGGAATCCATGCTCATGTGGCTCTGGTTAGGTTGTAATGGAAGATGGGAGGATTACCATGTATGTTAATGGTAATTTCCTCTCTTTATCCCTCTTGAGCTTTCAGGTTCATGTCTCGGGTGATACCCAGACACTGGGTTTGATTAAGCACCATGGAGGTTCAGGGTCAGAAAATCCTCTTAACTTGTTCCTTTCCCTCCTTTTCTTCCTGTCCAGCGGAACGGGCACTGGACACAATGAACTTTGAGGTGATCAAAGGCCAACCCATCCGAATTATGTGGTCTCAGCGAGACCCAGGACTTCGAAAGTCAGGTGTGGGCAACGTCTTCATAAAGAACTTGGAGGATTCCATTGACAGCAAGGCTTTGTATGATACCTTCTCTACCTTTGGGAACATCCTCTCTTGCAAGGTGCGTTGCCTTTGAGGAGGGGTCAGTGTCAAATATCTGTGTGGTTGAGGGATGCCAACCAACACTTCATTTTACAAGGTTTACAGTTTATAAGGAAGACCTCAGGTACAGCAAGTGCTTGAACCACAGCTGTTCTTTCAATTTATCTTCCTAGATTTGTCAGGATACCTGTGCAGTAGTCTGCTGTCTGTCTAACCACCCTCAGACTTGGTGGCTATCAGCAACCATTGTTTATTTAGCTCCTGATCCTGTTGATTGTTTGGGCTGAGCTTAGTTGGGCAGTTGTTGGTGTGCCTGGGCTCCCTCATGCCAACTGAGACTGGTAGGAGCCCTCCATAGGCATGTACAGCAGTGGAGTGGCTGGCTGTTAGTTGGAACATCCCACTGTACGTCCCTGTGGTTTTCATCCTCCGGTAGTAGGCTAGCCCAGGCCTTCTCAAGGCATTGGCAGAATCCCCTAGGACAAAGAATAGAAGCTCACCAGGACCCCCAAGACTTAAACTCAGATCTGGGACATTATCACTTCTGCTGCATCCTCTTGGCCAAAGCAAATCACAAGACCAGTGAACATTCAGAGCGAGAAGGCAGTAGAAATTATATAAAGGGTGTAACTACAGGAAGGCCATTAATTGAGGCCATCACAGCAATCAATGGACCACATCTTGTTTTTATTTTGGTGCTGGGAATTGAACTTGGGGCCTTGCATGAGCTAAGTACATGCTCTACCACTGAGCTACAGTTCTATCCCCTTTGTAAATTATGTCAGAGTACTGGTCATGTTGTTAGTAATCATTGTATCCTAGTGTCTAGAATATTTGTGATACATAAAAAGATCCTCATACATAGTTGCTGAGTGATTGGATGTATTACCCTTTGAGAAGGGCTCTGATTTGTTCTCTGACTTTGTATAGAGGATATTGGGGAGCATAGGCCATGTAGCAAGTCAGTGTGTGCTAACCAAAGGGCCAAAACCTGAATGTTCTGTTTTTACCTTTTATGAGGATGGCTGGCCAGTTACCCTGCAGCCTCTGAAGTGCCCCCTCCTGGGGAGATGGGGGATTTATGGTGTCCTCTCTGTTAGACTCACAGGCCTTACTCACAGGTGAGTAGGGGGCTATCTATTTCAGAGGAGCAGACTGAGGCTTGCGGTGTCGAAACATTCTCAGGGTTCTCAGAGGCAGACAGGCAGAGACAGACAGAGGCAAACATCAGACAGACAAGGAGACAGATCAGACAGACAGGGAGACAGACAGACAGACAGGCAGAGAGAGAGAGAGAGAGAAGCTCCCTGCCTTTGAGGATCTGTGGGCCAAGTTCTTACAATGATGGTAGCAGATTTGTCAAATGCTTTCTATGTACTAGGTTTTCTGCATACATAGCCACACTGAATTTTCCACCACGGCCCCTTAAGGTATATATAACTGCAGGGGAGAGAGGTTCAAAGATTTGAGTTCACTTGTCCACTGTTCTATGTTGCACAGAGTGGAGTTCGAGTCAAGATTTGAACTAGTGAGTTTGCCAAATTAGCTAAAGCAAATTGAATAGGAAACAGTATGTCTTCCCCCCTTACTCAGGCTTTGAGGTCCTATGGACTGCTGAGAATTTGACAGAAAGCTCTGTGTGATGCAGGTAAGCCTTTGCAGGCCGAATGAAGCACTGTTGTTAGAAACAAGACATGCAGTGTGTTCTTACGGGCTGGCTGGAATGGTGAAACTTTTAGAAATGGCTGGAAATTAGGCTCTAAAGGAAGAAGCATGGTCATTGTGTAGTTGGGTGACTGGGAAGGAGGAAGCTCTTTGGTTGGTCAGGTAAGGTTTCTGTGGCACTGTGAGAAGAGTGGATAATCTGAGTCAGGCCACGTAAATGGCAAAGCCCAGCCGCTTAGCAAGGAGGCAACATAATGTAGTGGATCAGACCCAGGACTTTGAGGCCAGAAGACCTGGATTCAAATCCTGTCTCTTCCATTTTCTGGCTATGTGATCTTGGGGCAGTTGTTGTACTTGAATTCTCTCCTTACAGCTTCAGTTGGAAAGGTTACAGAATAGAAGTGGGATGCTGTGTTAAAAAAATGGAAACAAGTTTGTTATGGAAAAAAATACGTGAATTGGTAAAATTTAAACAATGTGGAATGGAAGAAAGCAAAAAAGGTCCACCTTTTTAAGCCCTCGTCCCCACAATGATTAAGTTTTGCATATCTGTTTCAAAACTTCCCATATATAGAAAACTTTGGCCCAAATAGCTAGATTTTTTTTTTCTGCTTAATATTATATCTTACAGATAACTTGTCAGTTGTGTAATCTGTCCATTCTCTCCAGTGGTGCACATATGGTGACCTGGGTAACCTGGTGTGAATGAACTGTAATTTCTTTAACCAATCTTCTCTTGATGGATGGACGCTCGGGGTGTTTCCAGTTGGTTGTTAGAAACAGGATTCAGGTATGGAGGTTTGAAGTAATGCTCGGTCCATTGTCTTTCTTAAAACTGTTGTGCGGCGTAGACAAAACCTGGGTCCATTCTGAGAGTGTTCTTCTTCCTTCCTTTGTTACTCATCTCTGAACTTCAGTTTCCCATCTCTAAAATGGGCTATTGTGTGATGTAGAATTGTCTTTTTCTTTTCTTTTCTTTTTTTACAGTGCCAGAGAGGAACCCAGGGCTTTGCACATGCTAGGCAATTGCTCTACCTCTAAGCTACACTGCTGGCCCTCAGCGGGACTGTCTTTTACATGTAACATAGCAAGCACTCAGGTACTGGTCATCATCACCTTTGCCATCATTTTCTCCCTGAATCCCCTGCTGGATGTTCTCTGTTCTTCCCATGGCTCAGGTGGCGTGTGATGAGCATGGCTCTCGTGGCTTCGGCTTTGTGCATTTTGAGACCAATGAGGCTGCACAACAGGCCATCAGCACCATGAATGGAATGCTGCTGAATGACCGCAAAGTGTGAGTGGCCGGGGCTGAGGGAGGGGCTGCCTCTGAGTGGCATCACCGATGAAGAACAGTGTTCCTACCGCAGTCCAATGGGCCCTGGATACCAGGCAGCAATCTTCTTCTTGAAATGTGACCTCAGATGAGTTGCTCAACCTTTCAGAGACTCTTGGCACGGATGATACCTGTTAGAAGATTGTTTTCTGAGTAAGAATAGATGAGTTTGAAATTCTCACTAATGGCCAAATCATGAGTGGACTCAGAGATTTCATCTGTTTTTCAGTCTCCGCAGTAAGGCTATGAATTTCCTTTCTGAAACCATGTATTGTTTTGTGGGATTTGGGAGCAGAAAGAAAATTAGGCTTATGCTTAGCCTGCTAAGTTCAGTGTCCCCCCCTCCCCACTTCACAGGCGGGAAAATTGAGATGCAGGTGCTGGGGAGAATCTGCATCTGGCTGGTCCTCTCCTCAGTCCTGCTGGTCCCCGTCTGATGGCATAGCCTCATGGTCAGTGCTTTGGGCTGTAAGATGCACTGAGTTATTTTGTCAGGTTTCCAGGGGCCCGGTCCTGTCAATCTGTCATGCTGAATCTGAGTAGGCTTTTCCCAGTTCCCAGAAAGATGCCATTTTTGTTAGCAACCACTCAATGAGGCTTACCTCTGCCATTTGGTTTTCTTCAGTTTTTACTGCCTGCTACAACTTGTTTGTGTGAAATGTGCTGTAGATACCACTAGAATTTTCTATGCTTGGTTTTTTTCCCCTTAATCAAGCTACTTTCCTGCCGGGCCCAGCTACTTGGAAGGCTGAGGCAGGAGGATCACTTGAGCCCAGGAGTTCAAGGTTAGCCTAGGCAACATAGTGAGGCCCCACCTCTTAAAAAAATCCTTTTCTAGATGTTTTTAAAATTATTGCTGTTTTGATGATGTCAGTCCATCCCCCTAGAGTGATGCTGGCATTGACCATATATAAGTCACTTACCCTTGCTTCTCCACTGTACCCAGTATGTGTTAAATGAATAAGAAAAGTCCCATGACATGAGTTGAATCCCAGTTTTGCAGGAATGACACTAAGGGTCAGAGAGGTTAAGTAACTTGCCCATGGTCACACAGCAAGGCAACTACAGAGTGAGGACTTAAGCTTTTGTCTGAATGCCAAGTTTATACTCATATCTCCTGTGCTCTTAGCTGCCTCATGTGTGGTAGTAGTTCTGTGTGCATTTGTCACAAGAGTGGAGTATTCTGAGCCTCATATGAGGGATAAGCTCTGGAACATAGATTCTTAGCTGTTTGAGGTAGCTGGGTCTTGGACATAGTTGGTTTTTGGAGTATAGCCCTGCCCGATTCCTGATGAGGGGATACGGACAGTGCTTGGCCCCCTGAGTTGCCCAGGGTTTCCGTGTGATGGGCTGGGATGAGGGGTGGCTGAGGGCTGGCAACTGCCTATCCCGTTGTTGTGTCCACAGTTTTGTTGGCCACTTCAAGTCTCACCGGGAACGGGAGGCAGAGCTAGGGGCTCAAGCCCTGGCGTTCACCAACATCTATGTGAAGAACCTCCACGTGGACATGGATGAGCAGGGCCTGCAGGACCTCTTCTTTGAGTTTGGTGAGTAGGTTTCCTAAGGGAGGAAGGGAATCCCTGTTGTTCCTCTTCTAAGCCCAGATCTGGCAGGGAGGAGGGCCTGCCTCCGGCTTCCTGAGGATTTGTGGTAAGGGAGGGAACTTCCTGGGGCTTCTCCAACTCTCTTCTGAGACAGGTTGGTCTTTTCCAGGAAAGATGCTGAGTGTGAAGGTGATGAGGGACAACAGTGGCCACTCCCGGGGCTTTGGCTTTGTTAACTTTGAGAAGCATGAGGAAGCCCAGAAGGTAGGCGCCTCCCCATAGTTTTATTCCAAGGAAGAAGCAGCGAGCCAGGACTAGGGAGAAGGGAGCAGGGGCCTCTAGCTGCTCATGGAGGAGAAGGAGGCCCCCCTCTTCCTAGGCAAAGAGGGGTGGGAGAGTCCCACACGTAGGCAGGACCCTCCCAGCCGTGGGCCTGACTTTTGCTGATTTTTTTGTGGCTAAGGCAATGAAAGTCTAACTTGGTGTAAATGGTTTGTGCAGTCAAACTTTGGATCTGTCTGGGCTGGGCATTTAGCTCAGTGGTTTTGCTCCCTGCCTTACAAGCACAAGGACCAGAGTTCGATCCCTGGTACCAAAAAAAACCCCAAACTTTGGATCTATCAGGGCTAGTCCAGTTAATTGAGGAAGAAGAAAAAAATCAATGAAGTTTAAGACCCAATGCTTTCAATAAAAGAAAGCCCTTGTAGTCAACAAAAAGGATTCTTTTGTGCTGTGAAATACAACGTGAAGTGAAGGACGTTGATACTGTCATGTCATTTTGAAAGAATTATGCTTGCTGCTTTGTTCAAGTTATGCATGTAGAGTTGCAGTAAGAACCAAAATTTAAGGTATTTTGTAATAGACTATTTTTTTGAGCAGGTTTAGGTCCACAGTACAATTGAGAGGGAGGCACAGATACTGCACAAACCTTCCACTGCTGCACACGCACAGCTTCTCCGTTTATCAGCCTTCCTCAGCAGAGAGAACACTGCGTACACCTGGTAACCCTACATGGACACGTCCTCATCACCCAGAGCCTACTGTTGAAACGAAGGCTCATTACCGTATGAGGACATGTTTGTACTCTTTCAGTGTCACACAGAGTGTGAAGTGTTTTCAGTGCCCTAAAAATCTGTGCTCTACTTATTCATCTTTCCTTATCCCCTAACTCCTGCCCACAACTGATATTTTTACTGGCTTCATAGTTCTGCCTTTAATAGGATGTCACATAGATGGAGTCAAGTAATATACAGCTTTACAGATTGGCCTCCTTCACTGAGTAATATGTGTTTTGTTTTTGTTTTTGTTTTTGTACTAGGGATTGAATCGAACTCGGGACCTTGTGCTTGCAAGGCAGGCAGTGGAACCAATCAGCTAAATCCCCGGCCCAATATGTGTTTTAAATATAGGAATATTTAAATATATTGGATATATTTCAATTATAAACATTGGGAAACTGAAAATTTCAATTTTGTGTTTTTTGGGGTTTTTTGCTTTTTGCTACTCGGGATGGAACTCGTGTCCTTGGGCTTGTGAGGCAGGCGGTGGAACCACTGAGCTAAATCCCCGGCCCTCAATTTTGTGTTTTTAAAATAGTTCTAATCAAATTTAAAAATTTTATAGTTTAGCCAGGCATGGTAGTGAATGCCTATAATCCCAGCTGCTCAGAACACTGAGGATCTTGAGTTGAGTTTGATGCCAGTTCTCTGAAGGCTGAGGCAGGAGGACTGAGAAGTTTGAGTCCTGCCTGGGCAACTTACTGAGACTCTGTCTCAAAATGAAAAATAAAAAGGGCTGGAGATACAGTTCAGTGTGAAGGCCCTAGGTTCAATTCCCAGCTCTTGTCCCCCAGTCTAGTTCTCCCTGAAATTCTGTTCTCTGTTTTTAAGATGTGGATGCATTTTAAATGTCATTGTCTTGAGGCTACTTATTCTCAGCTAGCAAGGCAGGCTGGTTTGCAGGACTAGAAGGCAGGTTTGGAGGCCAGGGCGAGGGCCAGGGTCTTGTTTGGGCGGTCACCAAGCACGCTCCCTCTCACCTCAGGCTGTGGACCACATGAACGGAAAGGAGGTGAGTGGGCAGCAGCTGTATGTGGGCCGGGCCCAGAAGCGAGGAGAGCGGCAGAATGAACTGAAGCGCAGGTTTGAGCAGATGAAGCAGGACCGGCAGACCCGCTACCAGGTAAGGGCAGGACTCCTGGTGGTGGCCACTTCTATATGAAAGTGGCTGTTTGGGAGCCTCCTGACTGTCTCTCCTTCCTCTAGCCGTTCTACTTCTGGAAACTTGGCTGGGGCCAGGAATCATGAACACTGGGGTGGTGTCTATTGCCTGACTTGTAACAGTGGAGTGACTGGATACTACCCAACCATGAGATGGGGGTTGTTCAGGTTACTGCTGACCACAGAGTTGGAATAATACTTTATGTAGGACTGGTTAGTATCCCTTGCCTCTGCCCACTCAGTACCTGTTGCATCCTCCAGTCATGGAAAACCAAAGGGCCTTAAAAATTTCTAAATGCTCCTAGAGGAAATCCTACTCCAGGTTGCAGATAATTAGGCCACATATGTTACATCCAAATGCCACAATGTTATGGTCATTAAAGTTACATTAAGTTAACAAATTTGATTAAAATTAATATTGTAGATGAAATAAAAATCTCTAAAACTTTTAATAAAAGCTTTAGGCTGAGCATGTCATACATACCTATAATCCTAGCATTCGGGAGGCTGAAGCAGTAGGAGTGTGGATTTGAGGCTAGTTGAGGGTATGTAATAAGTTCAAGGCTAGCCTGGACTGCACAGTGAGACCTTTTAAAAGAAAAAACCAAGTCAAACAAACAAAATAAAATGATAAAAGTTGTAGCTCCCTTATGGAGAGGGTTATGTGTGTGTATACCACATTGTGTGTATGTATACACTATATCTATGCATATACCCATACACACATAACCACACTCAGTAGCTCTCAATGTGGGACAGTCTCCCTACCCCAGGGTATTTGACAATACCTGGAATTTTCAGTTGTCACATTTGAGGGATAAGGTCCATGTGGCACCTACTGGGTAGAGGTCAGGGATGCTGGCAAATAATCTTGCACAGGACAACTCCCACAACAAGAGTGACACAAAATGTCACTAATGCTGAAGCTGACAGACCCTTGTATGTACACACAAACACACCATTGTACATTTGTAAACATTTTTAGGTTTTATAGACTTACAGAAGAAAACTTTCAACATGTAGTTAGAGTGAGCAGGATATTAAAGTGTCCAGTTGTGTAGTCTAAATTCTGTACTTGCTTTTGTACTTGGGAGGTCAGGGAGGAGGACATCCAGGTCCAGGAGGCAGCTGTCATTTAATGGCGAGGGGCCTGCGCTCTGGGGCCAGGCTGCCTGCGTTAGTTGTGACTTTGCCGCTTGCTGGCTGTTTGATCTGAGATGATACCTTTAACGTGTTCTTCAGTTTTGCCATCTGTAAAATGAGGATTCGTTTCCTCCTCTTAGGGGTTGTTGTGAGGATTACACATTAAAATGTGTAAAAGAGCTTGGAGTGGTGCCTGGTACCAGGTGAGGGTAACGTGTGGGGTGCTGAGTGGGAGCTCACCTACATTCCGCATCAGCCCTGGAGCCGGCCTGCGAGGGCCTCTGTGCTGCTCTACGCTGCTGTTCCTTCAGGAAAGCTCTCTTCCAGCTGAGCTCTGAGCCTCAGCCAGCTGTGGGACTTAGTTCTCCTTCTGTGGCTCCCATCTATGAATTGAGCAGAGCCTGGGAGCTGTGCAGGTGTGTGAAAACTGCCAGGGGCTGTGGGGGCTGTGGGGCTGCAGCTTCCGGCTGTCAGTGTGCAGAGAGCTATGGGGTGCAGCACGAGGCTGGGCCGTCGCATGCTCAGTGTTTCTCCTGGCCATGCCGGCCACTGCCCTCCCCAAGGCAGTCTGGGGCTTGCGGAGAAGGTTCCATGGAGCAGTATTCTGTTTCTGCAGGGTGTGAACCTGTATGTGAAGAACCTGGACGACTCCATCAGTGATGAGAAACTGAGGACAGTGTTCTCTCCCTACGGAGTGATTACCAGTGCGAAGGTGAGGGCCACAGCACCTCCCGGGGTTAGCCTTCCCTTTATTCCCACTCTCATCCCTGCCAGCCTCTCACCTGGCTTCCAGGGGTGGGTGCTGGGCTCCTCTTCTAGGGCTCTGTGTGACCCCATGAGAGCTCAGGATCTATCTGGAGCCTTGTCTGGTTGCAGGGGCAAAAAGAAGACATACAGTCCAGTCACAGAGCTGGACTTGGGGCCCAGCGTGATCTTGGCTCATTTAGCAAGCGTTTATTGTGTCTCCTGTGGGTAGATTCCAGGCATTTCTGCCTCAGTATTTCTGTGGACTTCTGTTGTCTGGCCTTGGCCAGTGACATAACCCCTTCTAGGCCTCTGTTTCCCCTTCTGAAAAATGAGAGCTAGGCTGCATTATTCTTCACCATTTACTGAGCACCAAGTATGTGCTCAACCCTGTGAGCCACCTGAGATGTAACACCTGGCTATTCTACTCTGTAATTCTTGAGTAGTCTTCTGAGCCTCTTTAGTAAGATTGAAAGTGCTAGGCTCACTGTGTGAGTCCCAACCCTGGGTTCTCATTTGAGTCACCTGGAGACTTCTTCAGTATGGATGCCTGGGTCCAAGTGTAGACCTCTATGGATAGGGCCCAGGCACTTTCTTTTAAAAACTCCCCAGGTGATTTAAAGATGATGTAATATGCCAGATGCTGTGGCACATTCCTGTAATTCCAGTTACTTGGGAGGCTGAGGCAGGAAGATCATGAGTTTGAAGCCAGCCTGGGCAACTTTGTGAGAGCCTTTCTCAAAATTAAAATGCTGGGAATGTAGCTCAGTGGTAGAGTGCTTGCCTCGCATGCACACACAAAAAAGACTGAGTTGAAGCTTAATGGTAGAATGTTTGCCTAGCATGGGCTCCATCCCCAGTACCGCAAAAAACAATTTGAAAAAACCCAAACAGATGACTGTGAATGTTTATTCATTCTGTAGAAGGGAAGCGTATAGGAATGAATCAAATAAATCAGATCTGGTCCCTGTCTTTGAGGAGCTTGTAATCTACTGAGGAAGTCAGACCTTTACAAATTCACATATTAGAAGATGGGGGTGAGGCAGAACTGGAGGTAGAGCTTTGGGATCTCAGTGGGACAGGAGGGGAGGCTTCGTGGAGGAAGGGTAAGTGGTGGCAGTGTTTGACTTGGCTGGGAGGAGGTAGGAATGAGGTATCTTCCAAAGAGATGAGTGTGGGTGACAGATGGGGCTGGGGATCAGCATAGGTGATGGCTGGGCCTTAAGTGGCTAGGAAGTTCTCTAGGCTGCCGAATCTTACACTTCCTGCGAGAAGCTCGGTATTTGTGCAAAAATGCTTTTTTTGGTTGTGGGCCTTTTGGCAGGTAGGGCAGAAAGCTATGGGACTCAGTAAATTTGGTTTAGCATGGTAAAAAGTCCACAGGCCCTCTTTCCCAGTAAGTTCGTGCATGTGGCACAGTATTGTGCCTGGAAGCTGATATTTTAAGAGTTGATCTAAATCCCAGTTGCAACCTTTCCTAGATTAGAACCCAAGCCAATGGCTGTCTTTCCGACTGTCCACCCACCCGTGCAAGGGAAACAACACTACCTCTAGAGGCAGTGTGAATGCCACTTAGCAGACTGCATATCAAGCACCTGCATGTCAGAAGCACTGGAATGTTGATTGTTGTGATTATTTGCCATATGTATCATACAGTTTCAGGAGATTAGCTGACCTTGAGGGTTCCTCAGATGAAGGGACAATATGAGTCTGGATGGCTCAGAATTGAGGCACACCTGGGGTGATCTTTTTAGTAGGCCAGCCATTTAATAAGATGGGAATTTTATATAATTTCATATATTTTCTATTATGAATTAACTATTATACACCACTACCAAGTTCAGATTAAGTTCTGTATGAGAATTATCTTTACTAATTTTGTTACAACCTTTTTCCATACTCGGGATTGAACCAGAGCCTCCTGCTGAGATACATCCCCAGTCCTTTTGTTATTGTTTATTTTGGACAGGATTTTGCTAAATTGCCCAGGCTGGGCTTAAATTTACAGTCCTCCTGCCTCAGACTCTAAGAGTGCTGCGGTTACAGGTATGTACTACCATACCTAACACATACTAACAGTTCTTAATAGAGATTCTTAACAATAGTTTTGTATTAGAACTTTTTTGACCATCTGGTGAGACTGTGAAACCCTTCTAAGAATATTTTAAAATACATAAATAGTATTATTTTTTAAAATGTATTGAAATATAACTCAAAATACTAAACAGTAGTACTTCAACACATTAAGCTGAGATCTGTCAAAATAGCAATTAACATAAATGATATTTTGAGATCGATAATGAATTGAAAATATTTGATTTTTCTTTATGACAGTTATAGGGATGGGTAATACTGCTGATTTTTTTTTGTTGTCCATATTCATAATGGAAATGTTAGTATGAAAATAAAGGTGTCAGTTTTTCCCATTCACAGACCCCCTGAATTCTATCTGTGATACCCCTGAAAAGGATGTATGGACCTTCAGGTATGCTGAGAAGTGGCAGTTTGAAAATCACTGAGTTAGAACATGGCTTCTGAGGGGGCAGGAGTTAAAAAAGAGCTCTAGTCTTTCTCGAGTGTGAATCAAGTCAGTGTCTTGACCCTAAGAAAGGTTAGAAATTGGGGCCGGGGATTTAGCTCAGCGGTTGTGCCGCCTGCCTCGCAAGCACAGGGTCCCAAGTTCGATCCCCGGTACCAAAAAAAAAAAAAAGAGATGCAGTGTGGATCTGGTCCTTGAAGAGAAAAATAACTTAGTTTAAACAATGAAATCTGGTAATACCCTGTGGTTAATAGGAGCTAATGATGTAATAGTTAATAGCATTGCACCAGTGTTACTATTGTAGTTTTGACAGCTACACCATGTTAACATCTGGGGAGCTGGGTAAAAGATATACAGCAGGTCTCTGTAATGTTTTTGTAACTTTTTTATAAGCCTCAAGTTACTCCCAATAATGTTATTTTAATAAGAGGGCTGAGAACAGCTTCCCCAGACTCCTAAAGACCCTGGCCCAGGGCCTTGCAGAGGCAATAGAGGTTATCAGATGTGTGCTGAGTCCTGGCTGTGTATGTGACTTTGTACAAGTCACTCTTTTTTTTGAGACAAGGTCTGGCTATGTGGTTCATGCTGGTCTTGAACTCTCTATGTAGTGCAGGTTGGCCTTGAACTTGTGGCGATCCTCCAGCTTCAGCCTCAAGTGCTGTGATTACAAATGTGCACCACCACACCTGGTGGATAAGTTACTCTTGAATCTCCCTTCCCTCCCCAAGAAGGTAGGGACCAGTGTACCCCCTTATAAGGAGGCTGCATGTGAGCCAGGAAGGCATGTAAAGTATCTGGCACACAGTAGGCCTCAGTAAACTTGGAGTGGACAGTTTGTTCCAATCACAGGTTTTCATGGGTCTGCTAGCTGTGGGGTTCAGTCCTGAGGAAGGAGGGGAGCACAGCCCTGGAGCTTCCTTCCCCGCCCCCAGCAACCCTTGTCTTGTCTTGCTTTTAGGTGATGACAGAGGGTGGCCACAGCAAGGGATTTGGCTTTGTGTGTTTTTCCTCTCCAGAAGAGGCGACAAAGGCCGTGACAGAGATGAACGGGTGTATTGTGGGCACCAAGCCGCTGTACGTGGCACTGGCCCAGCGTAAAGAGGAACGGAAGGCCATCTTGACCAACCAGTACATGCAGCGCCTCTCCACGGTGCAGGCCTTGGGCCGCCCCGTCATGGGCTCCTTCCAGCAGCCCAACAGCTACTTCCTGCCCGCTGTGGCCCAGGTGACAGTCTCCCCATAGCTCCCGCCCACTTCCCCAGACAGCTACCTAGAGCAGGGAAATGGGAGCTTCATGGGCAAAAGTAGGTTGTGCCGAAACACTAGGCAGACTGGTCCAACCTGTGTCCCCATCTGTAAAGAGGTGGGTAGTGCTGCTGTCAAACAGCATCTTGCAGCCTGAGAGAAATTCGTGAATGATGTGCAGAAAAAGACGGTGGTCAAATAAGTTTGGGAGATTTTGCATTAAACAAAGGAATCTTAAATTTCTTTACTATATCAGTTGCCCTCTGCTAATACATCAGTATTATGACTCTGCTCAGCAGGCATATAGTGTGTAGTGTTTCCCCAACTGGGATGGTCATTAACACCTCCCTTCACTGTTAGTGCTCTGAGGAGCATGATTTGGGAAGGTATAAGCCACTGAAGGCTGCTGGGTTGATAGTCTTCCCTCCCCTTTAGCAGTCGCTTGAGCTGGCACACACTAGAATATGGTGTGTCACCTTCTGAATCTAGGCCACTGGACCAGGCCCGATGAGGAGCAAGGATTGAAATCTGACATCACTCTGAAGGGTTCAGGGCTAATGGGGACCAGATGGGAGGAAGAGCCTGCAGGCCAGCTTTCTAGGCCTTTATTAGCCTGTTCCCTGAGGGGACAGTGGAGTCTTGCAGTAGTGTCTGTCCCTGAGGGAATGCAGTGCCTTACCTACCCTGTTCAGAGCCCCTCACTCTGTGGTCCTCTTCTCCCACACAGCCTCCAGCCCAGGCTACATGCTATGGTGGCTCTGGCTCCGTGGCCCCCGTCCAGCCTGCCCCCAGGTGGACAGCCCAGCCACAGAGAGCGTCATGTGAGTGACCCATCCCCCTCTCCCCTCAGCCCAGCCCGTGAGTGGCTCTGAGGCAGTGTGTAACACCGGGGTCGAGCGTGGCTCTGCCATGCCCTAGAGTGGGCCACTTTGTCTCTCTGAGCCACAGTTTCCTCTTCTGATCGTGGGCCTAAAGGAGATGTCTGTAAAGCACCAGGCACAGGGCCAAGCCTGTGAGCCAGGCCGGGTAGCCATTATGTGTACTCTCCGGAGACTTTTCTGATTTGTGGCTGAAGAGTTTCACAAAGCTGAAAAAGTGAAATTCCTCTGGTTATACTGGTGATGAATGGCCTTTCTCTCTAAAAGCCAAGTTCGCACTCACCTAAAACTGTCTTGGGACTAAATGTATGGTCATGGTTCTTTTGCATCTTGGGACTCTGGGTAGATGTGAACTGGTTCGTTCCTGCAGATTTCCATATCCCCCCTAGGTGAATTCACCCATCTCTTTGCCATGAGTTTCTAGTTACCCTTCCCAGCCCTGGAACCTTCAGGGTATTGTGCCACTCTGATTACCACCCACACAACCTTTCTCTCTCCATTTTTCTCTGTGCCACAAGCTGTCTGCCCTCCAACTGCCTCAGTGGTCCGGCCACCAGGCTTGCCCCGGCGCCCCCGGGCCCATGTCAGCAGTGTCAGGCAGGCCTCTACCCAGGTGCCGTACCTGGCACCCCACACCAAGAAAGTGGGTGAGTGTGGGCAGGGCCAAGAAGAATGGGGGTGAGAGGAGGGTGGGGCAAGGTCTTGGGGCTGGGTTGCCACTGGAGGGGAGTCAGGACTGGCCTTCATAGTGACTTGCCTTCTTGGTGAGCCAGCCTGACTTTGGAGGCTATGTGTGTAGTGTAGAGGTTGGCTTGGCCTCCAGCTCCCAAGAGTCACTCATTCTGTGGCCTTTGCCAACTCACCTCTGATAACCTATTCCTTAAAATAGGGATTAAAAATGGTGTAGTCATTTCTTTGTGAGGATTTTTGAAATCACACATGCAAGGACCTGAACCTTAAGAAGTATACAGCAGGGTAAACAAGGGTGTGGATTTTGGCTCAAAGGCAAGCACATCTGTTCCCTCATTCAGCAGATGTTCTCACATTTTTGTGCTGCTCTCTGTTTGGCACTGGGAATTACACATGAATGAGTTAGATATAATCGCTGATGTTAGGTTGCTGACAGTTTCTGACACTCCTGCTTATTTTTATTATGATGATGATGATGATGATGATTGATTTTGAGACCAGGTCTCACTGTGCAGTTCAGGCTGTCCTTGAACTCACTGTGTAGCCCAGGCTGGCCTCCAACTTGCAATGATTCTTCTGCTTCAGCCTCCTGAGTGCTGCTATTGCAGGCATGCACCACCAAGCCTGGCCTCTGCTTATTTTTTTTTAATTGTGGTAAAATGCATATAAAATTTACCATTTAACAATTTTTAAGTGTACAAGTTAAGCGACATTTAGTCCATTGACACTGTTATGCAAACCATCACCACATCCACCTCGAAAACTTTTATCTTGCAGAACTGAAATTCTATACCCATTAAACTCCCTCCAGCCCCTGGCAGCTGCCATTCTACTTTGTTACTGTGAATTTAACTACACTAGGTACTTAATGTAAATGAATGACATAGTATTTGTCTTTTTGTGACGGGCTTACTTCACATACCAGAATGTCCTCAAGATTCATTCCTGCTCTAGCATGAGTTAGAATCTCCTTCCTTTTGGAAGGCTCATGTTTTTTTTCCCTGTAGTGGCTGTACCGTTTACAGTTCCACCAACAGTTCAACTGTTCCACTTTCTTTCTGTTCTAACCTACACTTGTTATTTTCTGTTTTGTATTTTTGATAGTAGCCATTCAAACTCTGCTTATTTTTTTTACAGCCAACATTGGTACCCAGACTATGGGAGCCAGCAGGGCATGCTCTACAGAAGGGCCATCTCTCTCAGCTGTACTTACGGCCCATGGGGTAAGGATGGCTGTTAAGTGTGGGCTCTGGGAGTCCTGGCTCAGATTCTTGGCTAAGGTGTTGGCTTTTGGGCTTTGGTTTTCTTTTCTTAGCTCGTAAAGTTTCACTAATGTGTACAGTCACAAAATATCACGCTTACCAACAGAAGAGGAAGGGAGGCCAAGGTCATATTTTGTTTTCTAATTGTGAATTGTTTTTTTTTTCCTTAAATTCTTTTATTGGAACATTTTAGGTATACAATATGTTTACATTTATCATTGGGTGCTTGTACCTGTACATGAATGTGTCTTGGCTCATATTTTTTACCCCATTACCTGTGTGCCCTTCCCTAATTTTTAAAATTTTTTAATTTTTTTTAATTTTTAAAAGCTTTTTGGTACCAGGGATCGAACTCGGGACCTTGCGCCTGCAAGGCAGACACCGGAATCACTGAGCTAAATCCCCAGCCCCACCCTTCCCTATTTACATAGACTTTGTTTCCATTTTTTTTCCTTTTCTCATAACTTTTCCTTTCCCTCCTTTCCCCTTCCCCTCCCACCACCCCTACCCCTTTGGACCTTTTCTTCCTATTTCAAATTATCAATTCTTTGTTTTAATCATTTTAATCCTTATTTACACTTTCAGTTTCTCACACTAGAGAAACTATTTGGTATTTAT